CTATCTGAATTTCTTTCTCAATTGCTCTTTATTCCCCCCCCCCCTCTCTCTCTCCCGGTCGTTTATATGTACATCAAATTACATATATTTAATCTAAATGTAATAAAACTAAAAGAAATAGATTTATAATTGTAATGCATTGGAAAATAAAAAAAATACCAAAATAAGAAAATATAAAATTATATAAATGTTATATGATACAAATATTATACTATAAAAATATTTTAACTAAAGAATAAACTGCACACACGATGCTTGTTGTCCTGCTAGATCGCTTGCGTTTTAATAAATTATTAAAATTGTTGTGCATAGAACGCAGATTTTCTAGCTAAAATAAAAGCAATCTAGCAATTATAATTTTGTTTTCTTCTATCTCTTTCTCTAATCCGTATTTCAACTACTTGGACAGTTAAATAGCCCCGAAAAAGAAAACGGAAAAAGAAAGAAGTGAGATAGAAGTTTAGATAGCGTTACTGAGCAACTTATTTATTCCGCGCATGCGCATTCCATTTTGGCTAACAAAATCAGGAGAGTTGAGCTACTGTACATATATACTATGCCTAAGCCTCCTATTTTACCGATTAAATCATGTAATTTTTGTATAACAAATACTTTTTTCCTCTTTCACCGATTTGAAAATCCTTTTCCAGGATTAAAGTATACGCATTAATACATATCTGGGAAGTGGAGTCTATGCCAAGAACGATCAAAAATTTCAAAATTGATATATTTTTTACCAATTCTTAGTGTAACATGGCGTCTTAGCTGTTAAGTCATAGCAACATTTGCTTGATATGATAGCTTCGCAACCTGTATGTACGAAATAATGATTTCCAGACACGTAGTTTACATGAACAAACAACGTCGAGTTCTTAGAATTAGACTTAGATGCTTTATTGCAACGAATTTGTTATACGAAAATTGACACGAATGTGCAACTGCGTGTATCATAGGTTGCATGAGATATTGATATGATAGTATATAAAACATGTCGTTGCCCGACCTCTGGTGACTTCGTCGGAGCTTCGTTCGAGCTTCGCTATAGGATTCCCTTAAGACAGTTTTGAATATTAGAACGGATTATGAATATCGGTCTATATGATTCTATGTCATAGGTGTATTCTTTTATGGTGTATGGTGTATTCTTTTAGATCATTCAATCAGCATTTTAGATTTGGAAAAATACATCAATAGTAGCGAGCGCTCACTCAACTGTTGAGTCCACTGAACGCAGCCAAGAACTGTGTTCGCTTTGTCGCTCACAACGTTTTAAGCGTCATTTTATCCTTGTTGTTTATTAAACTAGGATAGAAATAATGCTCACAAGTGCTGTAAGCATCAAAGCGAACACAGCCAAGATGTACAGTCATGGTTAGAAAGATAGCAACACTTTTTTTTTAATGATTTTTAGAATACGCAAAAATGTTCAAAGTGCAATTTACTGTCTATCGATGCATGTAACGAATGATGAGTCCGCTGAACACAGCCCTTGTTTTTTTACATCATGGGCGGTAGGATCATGGTGGAAGGAATAACATGAAGTTTGTTCGCGTCGCATGTTCCAGCTCCAATGTGCTCTTGTTACAGTTTCTACTCATTTTAAGACTTTAGTATTTGTTCGTTTTCTGTCAGGAGCTGCTCGAGGTCGTTTCGAATGAACCAGAATACTTGAAGTGTAGGATTCACACTATATACGACATCCGTCATACTACGTCCGACATTCATCATAATCATGCTCCTGCACATAAAACGCGGTAACGTTTGCCGCGCGGCGGAAGTTGTCGCACTAGCCTATAATTCTATTGTAAGAAATTTACTAGATATAGTTACAACAGAAACAGTATATACAGTAGCGCAATTCTCCTGATTTTTTATGTCGGTCAAAATAAAATGCGTATGGGTGAAGTAAGTTGCCCCATCTCTTTTCTTTTTTTTTATTGTTCTCTCTTTTTCTCTCTCTGTTTAAATAAACGTTTCAATGTTCCACTTAAACATTTGTTTTTCAAGTATACATGGCTCAGAGTATAAATTTAAAGAAGTATTACGTGTATTGTCCATTTGATGAAATATTGTGTGAGAAATTTCAAGAGATTGGTCTAATTTTTGTGAAAAAGTGATAAAGTGAAAAAGTGAACAAAAAGTAAAAACATCGAAACTCGAGTAAAAAGGATTTCTTTTTATTTATTGTATTTTAAATTTATTTTTTAAACATATATGTATACAAATTTCTTTTATATCAGCTTTCTCATAACATTTTCATAGATATATTTATAATTATATAATATTTCTTTATACAAATATACATTTTTAAATTAATTTAATATTTTTCCTAATTTTTCTATATTTTTTCTTTATTTTTCAATATATTTACAATTTATTTTTATTAATTTTCATAAAGTTTAAATTATTTCATCGCAACATTAGATTTATTCGCGTTGCATGCTCCAATATGTTCCTATAATAACACTTATTCACTTTGTGGCAACCGCCACCAGAAGTCCAATGACAGAACGTGCTCGGTTTCGCGTAAGCGTCTCAGTCACGCAAAGATCCTTTAAATAGGATAACGACTGAGACTGATTCCAGGGCGTCTAAGGCAGGTCCCTACATCGCCTTACTGATGAGTCTAGTAGTGTGGGACCGAGACGAAATGCCACGGCCAACCACTACTCAGTTTCGAGTCTGGCCTCGTTGGATTGCAATGCGAATAAATCTAGTGAGTTTTGCGAGGAATTTTAATAGAGTAAAAAAAGAATGAAAAGAGAAAGAAGTTTAAGTGATAACCATGGCAACGCTAAGTAACTTACTTATTTCACGCATGCGCACTCCATTGTGGTCAATACTAGCATCAAGGGTGCCGACAGAGAGTTGTGCTACTATATACTGGTATACTGTGACAGAAATACCAACAGCGCCAGGACTGTATGGTTCAGTGGTAGAGCGAAAATCCAACTCGGAGGAGAAACCAGGCTTGGGATCGAGTCGAAGAGCGCCCTGATATTTTTCTCTGTTGTCGTCAATTGTTTACACTATGTTCTTAAGTCGGTCCCACTTTGCAAAACTTCTAGAAATGATGTAATACTACTTCCGCCGATGGAAATTATATATCTATTATTTTCGAGTAAGCGAGACGTTGATTGGCTATCACGCCAACTTCCGTCGCGCTGTAAGCGTTGCCGCATTCTGTGTGCAGGAACCATAATAATGAATTTCAGATGTCGTATGACGAATGTACGTAGGCCAGTATTTACAGCCAGATTTTATATTCAAGACCGTCTTTCGGTTTTAAGAAGTCACGAACCAATCAGAGGGCTGCATTAGCGTCTTAAGACATTATTTTAGACGGTCTTGAAATAAGAATCGACTATGAATATCGGCTTATATTTCAAGTATGTTAGGTTCGGAGCGACTTCGAGCAGCTCCCGAAAGATAAAACGAACAATACTCTTATTTAAGACAATTTTAAAATTAAAACAGACCGTTCCATGTTTCGCGTTTCACAGTTGGCAGTCTTTTCCTCTTATGTGGCATTCATAGACAGAGATTACTGCAGAGATTAGAAAGCAAAACTGAACAAAATGAGCACAGAGATGCGTTTTGATATTCAGTGCTGAAACTATGCAGTATATGTGCGCTATAGATTTTCGGCAGTGGTAGAAATTATCGGAATGCAGCCCAGGTGTGAGCCTTCCAACAAGCGACACAATGATCATATCATCTTTAATATTAGCAAACAATAAGAGGTGCGTTCGGCAATGTAAATCTGAAATGCGAGCTAGCAGATGGTTACGTGATAGTTACACTACAATTTCCATAAAAAAAGAGGGGATAATGTTGTAGCAACGAAAACCTCTAAGCATTGCAATTTAATTTTTTATGGATTAGTAATATCGTTTAAGTAATAAGTTTGTCAGTTTAGAGATTCTTTCGAGGAACCTTTTTGACATATGTGATATGCGTACACGTATGTAATAAATATGTAATAAACATCTTTTAAACGTAAACGTTAAATATATTGTAACATAAAATTAGAATTAAATGAAATAATTGTAACATAAAATTAGAATTAAATGAAATAATTGTAACATAAAATTAGAATTAAATGAAATAAAAATCACACAAATAACTGAAAATATGAACTGCATAATGACTAACAAGATGAACAAAAAAGAATAGAGTATTAAAATATTCATTAATTTATTTCCTTTTTTCCACAGAGTTGGGACAGTTTATACAAAATAAGCAATAAATCTCAATTTTCCGCGTTCATCTTGTTAGTCATTATGCCCTTCATATTTTCAGTTATTTGTGTGATTTTTATTTCATTTAATTCTAATTTTATGTTACAATATATTTAACGTTTACGTTTAAAAGATATTTATTACATATTTATTACATACGCATACGCATATCACATATGTCAAAAAGGTTACCCGGAAGAACCTCTAAACTAACAGATTTACTACTTAAACGATGTTATCAATCCAGAAAATTAAATTGCAATGCTTAGAAGTTTTCGTTGCTACCAACACTATTCCCTGTTTTTATAGAAATTGTAGTGTAACCCACGTGATCTTCGAGCAATCTGAGTATTAAGAATTAATTCCGAATGCTACAGAACTGTAAACTCCTTTAAGGTTAGATTATAAAATGAAATTGTTTATTTTTATGGATAAATAAAAAATACCCTATTAATTGAAAATTTTTTTCGCTTTACTAGAAACTGATAATAATCTTATATACTAAAAATAGATCGTTACACATGAATGTAGCAGACTCATATGCAAGGTGTGTTTAAAAAAAAAAAATATTACATTGCAAAATAGATTTCAGCAATTTATAAGTTATATCACTTGATTTATATTCGTTAGAGTCTTTAATATATTAATACAGTTTGATTTTCATTCTATGTGCAATATAAGCTTTGATCTAAAAATTAACTAGCAAATTTTTGTTTTCAAATATGTAACTTCAAATTTATAAAAGCTTTAAATACTTACTTTCCTCGTTAAATATTGTACACAATGTACTCCATCAATTTCTATTTGATAGCATTTGTTTGAGCGTTTGTAGACTCAGACATTATAACAGTTCAAATACACTATTTGTAAAATAGAAGTATTAAAAGAGAACGTATGTGATGTGTTAACGAATCAATTGGATACATTATCATAAATATACAGTTTATGAATTTAATTTAGATGTGAAAATCTCTCTGCGAACTCGGTCTTTGAATTTAGAGTGGATCGAGCAACTCGATGGTTCTAGAAATGTTAATACCGAATGCAGATGGGATGACATATAGTAAAAAGATGCGAGTTACCGAATGATTTTCGAGGTAAAAGAGCAAACGGACGCCTTCGATTTATAATGCTGAATGCACCTAAGGATAAAATGATCCATTGGGTGCATCCAGAAGCACGACCGCTCACTGAGCGCTCAGTGAGCTCTTGCATTTAATTGGCATATTCCATTAGATCTAAAAATGTAGACCAAACAGATAAAAGAGCTTATTGAGCTCTCAGTGAGCAGTCGTGTTTCTGAATGCACCGATTGTGTCACATCGTGTCATTTGTGTCGCTTGTTGGAAGGCATACCATATTATCTTCCTATACCCTTCCACCATAGACGATAGTAGTTGAGTGTAGTTAAGTAGAGAGGTGAAGACGGGTTGCTTTTTTTGGTAATTGAATAGATAAAAATAATTTTGGGATCGGTAGGGGGACAAAACTGAGGAAAAGCACGAGAGCAACAGCGATGCGGTGAACGCCGGCGACGACAAGCGATGGCTGGGCGAGTGTCCAGTAAGGAGCGCGAGACGAGCTCGCCGAGAAATGCCGATAACCTATCACGCCAAATCACGTCAACATCCACGTCCGAGTCAAATAACGACGTGGCTCAAGAGAAGCTAGCGATAGAGGAACGGTTGGCTGCTAAAATGTTTTCCTACGAAATTATTTGTTTTCTCTTTGCGATTACTTTTACCGCTATGGCTGCTCTGCACAGTTCGTAAGTTTTAGGCTATGTTTATATACATACATATATAGAGAAAAGTAGTAATATGGTCTCCTACTGTTAATATGGACCTACTTAAAATTTTTTATTAACAGCATCTCTTATTAAAAAAATTTAACTTTATTCTGATAGATAACAAAATTGTAAAACGATTGCTGCCACAGTTAGTCAAACATTTTGTCAACATAAAGTCGTTTGCTTACACTTTTTGCACTCAATATCTTTGCTTTCTTTCTCTTAACGTCCGAGTACATATTTTATTTTAAGTACAAAAAAATGGTGCCTAAAAATTGCCAAAATTTGCCCCAAGTTGGTATTAAAAAAAACTAAGTCTACAATGTTTCTTGATATATCTGAAAAAGAAAAATAATATTTATAATAGAGGAATAAGGAATAAAGTGCACATCACTAATGGGCCAATTTAAAATAAAATGTTTTTATTAATAAAGCAGTAAAAAATTATTAGGCCACAATATGAGTGGATGTGCTATCAGGATGTGTGCTAATGGGACCTTTTCTTTATAAAGCCTGATGTCTACGATGCTAGAAATCGATCCGAGATCTCGGATGAAGAAAGAATTGACCAATCGCATTGGTCATGTGACCAAATTGTTCAAATGTGATTTGTTAATTTTTTCTTTGTCCGAGATCTTGGATCGTTTTCTAGCATCGTAGACATTGGGCTTAATATCAGAAAGTACTGGGAAAATCGCTGATAGCAATTAAATATCATATGACATACATGACATTATATTTCAGTTTTCTTTATTTCTGTATGATGAGACTTGTATATATTCTAATATCCAATAATCTATAATATATATATTTATATATACACATACATATGTTCATTTATGTATTTTACATGCATACACAAGAATCATTTTTAATAAAAAATATTAAAATTTACTAAAATAATTCTTTATTAGGACTCAT